TTAGTGCAAATATCTTCCCATGGAGAGATGCAAAAAGACATTCTTACCAGACCAAGGATGGCTGCTCCAATCCCAATGAGAGGACTGACAGAAATAATAACCAAGGTCAATTTCCAACCCCTGTAAAATCCCAACAGGAACCCAGAGATGATCGTGGTCATGCGCTGAATGAAAATGGCCATTTGGTCACCTATGGCATCATTGATCTTATTAATATCACTAGAAACAAGAAAGACCTTGGTCACTAAAACTGAATTTGGTCATTCAAGTGTATTGCTGAAAAATCTTCAGTCTTTCCCTTTTAAACATTCCCATTTCCTTATCACCATCACACTTGGGTAATATAACAGCCTCTCAAATCTTGGAAAATTTGCTGCACCTTAGGATGTTATCAGGCCTCTCTCCTCATAGCCAACCAAGTTTGTCCTTAACCCAGCTTTCCCAGCTGGTATCCACTCAGTGCTGATAAAGGATTTGGAAACCATCCTGTCTCTTTCTTTCCTATAGCTAATACCCTTTGTCTATTCTGAAGAGCCCGTCTCTCCTCCTTCATGCCTAACTCTTTCAGCCTCCTGGTTCTATTCACATACCCTCTCATTCATAAACCTTGTATGATCCCCCGGGAAGAAGAAGTACCTTCCTCCCTATGTTTCCACAACAATATAATTAATCTGTTTGTGCGTGTGCTTGTGTAATTATTGCATTCTGCTTGTTGGCAGTATAGGACAGTGATTAAGAGCACAGACCCTGGAGCTAGACTCTCTGAATTTGTATACAAACTCTTCTTGGGCAAGTTACTTAACCTTCTTGTGCCTCAGTTTCCTCATCTGTAAAACAGGGATAATAACAGAACCTGATTATTTATTTGCTTGCTCTTCTTATTCTTCCTATTAGGCTGTATCTTCCTTAAGAGCAGGAATACAAGGTAAATGCTCCAGAATATCGATTGAATATAATAGATTAAATTCATATTCCTGAGAACATTCCCTTAGTCTCTTGTCCAGATGGAACAAATAGGGCTTGGGAATTAATAGCAAGAATGGACCTAAGACATTAGCCAGAGATTAGACCAGTATATTCTGGCAAGGTTAAGTAACTGTTCAAGGTCACGGTAAGTAAGGGGCAGAGTAAGTGCTGGAATCTAGGGGTCTCAACTTTCAGTCTGCTTTATCTTCACTAAAGACAGTGAGTGTCTTTCAGGGACCTCAAAGTTCAATTCAATAGTGTTCAACTGATTCTAATTACTCTTATTCAGAACTTCTAGGAAGCTATTAATGATTCAAACTAATATTCAGGTGTAAACTGAATTTGAATCCAGTTTTTTAGTTTTAATATATCTCAAACCATATTTGGATTTTTTTTGTTTTGTGAATAGAAGTTGCCTCCCCAGACATAGCAAGATAATTATTTTTAATTGTATTGCTTTTCCTTATATATACGCAGATTCTGACATCCCTCAATTTCTCCTTCTGAGGCCAAATAATGCTTTTAACTCTCTTCTATAATACTTCATTCCTAATATTTTTATCAAAGCCTACAAACGAAATTGCAGTATTTTGGCTTTCAATTTTTAATGGCCATATTTGGTAAGGCCTTTGAAAAAGCCATGCTACCTATGAAAGTCCAACGTAAGAGACCAAATGTATCAAAAATAACTGAAAATGTTTAAAAATTGTTATATAATTCAGAAACAAGAGTTTTATTATCCAAAAATCACACTTTAAAATATTGTCCTACCAGCTACTTACTCCGAGAATCTTGTATTCAGCTCTCCCACTGAATTGCAGTCAAACCATCCTATTTCCATTCTCATTATTCTCCTAAAGTAAATTTTCCTAATTCTGTGTATCTGACGAGCCGCAGCAACCACCCAAAAGCATATCTGGAAATGGACAAAGGAATGTTTAGCATTGCAGTGTTACAAGTATTTGCCGATTCCTCCTTCTCTTCTCAAAAGAAAATACTTTCCATACAACAGTCGAGAAAAAAAGGGAAATGATCTACAAAATGCTTCTTCTTGGGAAGAACAACTTTGGACAAGATAGCCAGAGATTTGGGCTTGAATCCAGCTCTAACATTTAAGAAGGCCCACGACTTTTGAACTTCACCCTAGTGAGTTTCTCTTTCTTCATGTGTAAAAGAAGGCACCCCAAATAAGACAATATTGATTTTAAATCACCATTTTTTCATGCCTCCCCATTCTCTCATGTCCTCCTGACATATAACTGTAGTTCTTAGGGTTTCTGAATAGCTTAAAGGGTGACAACACTCTGCATTTCACTGCAACATCTTTGAACCCAAATGTTCATCTATAAATAAATGGAGGCTCTACTAACTTGAACATATCCACAAATAAGTACTGCGACAGCGACTCCAACATAGTAACTGGCAAATTTGATCATTTCACTCTCAATGTTCAGCAACCTTCAAAAGAAGGAAAAAAATGTTAAGACTTACAAGTAGGATCAAGCTCCCAAGGATTACGTTTGTCGGTACAGAGGGGTTTAAAATATGTATATTATAGAGTAAGACATTTTATCTATGCAGAATTATAATCCATCCAACCAAATCCCCTAAGTAGACCTCATGGACAGGCACAGCAAATAAGTCTGTGCCATTCATTTTTACAGGCAGAGAAGCAAGGACTAGGAAATAATTTCTCTGTTGTTGGAAGCCAGGGACTCTACATGCCAGCCCAGTGCTTGGTCCACTTTGGCGCCTTTCGCTCATATTCATCATGCAGCGATAGAGTAATAATAGCTAAGAAAGGTTTTCAACAGCAGGACAGACTGTCTGAAAGGACACTGGTAGAAGGATGTGTGCTGTAAATCAGGAGGCTTACTGCTACCTTTCTAGGCATCTAAGCCAGCTTTTTTTTTTTTAATTTTTAAAGAACAGAGATTTATCTTACAGTTCTGAAGGCTGGGGAACCCAAGGTGGAGGGGCTTGAATCTGGTGAGGGCCTTTGTGCTTTGTCATCCATGGTGGAAGGGCGAGAGAATGAGGTGGGCGGGGGGAGAAGAGGAAGAGGGAGAAAGGAAAGAGGAGGAGGAAAAGACCGAAACTCATCTTTTTAGCAGGAACTAACTCCTGAGATAACTAACCCACTCCCAAAGTAATGCCATTAATCCGTTTATGAGGGCTTTATTTAATCACCTGTTAAAGGTCTTACCTCTCGACACTGTTGCGTTAGGGATTAAGTTTCCAACACACGAACTGTGAGGGACACATTCATACCACAGTAAGCTCTATTCACAGCATTTCTATTCCTTGTTGAGTCAGAGTTGGCATTTTGTGTCTTCCTTGGAATTGTCTGTTTCATTTAAGTTATCTAATTTGTTGGCATTCAATTATTCACAGTATTTCTTTATAATGCTTTGTATTTCTGTAAGATTGGTAGCAAAATCCACTTTTTCGTCTAGCAATTTCTTTTTTTCTTTTGGTCAATTTAGCTAAAGTTTTGTCATTTTGTTGATCTTTTCAAAGAACCAGATTTTGCTTTCATTAATTTTTTTTCTTCTATTGCTTTTCTGTTCTTTCATTTCTGCTCTAGGCTTTATTTCCTTCTTTCTATGGACTTAGTTATTATCAATCTCACATTATGATTATGTATTTGTCAAGTTTTCCCAAGAATTTTGTTAATTTCTGTTTCATATATTTTGAGTATATGTTATTAAATGTATACAAGTTCAGAATTATACCTTTCAGGTTAATTGTTTTTTGTATTGTATTAATACTTTATTTCTAATGAAGAGTTTTGCCTTAAAGTTTAATTTGATAGATATTTATAAAACTATGCCAGCTTCTTTCCTGTTTAAAAAAAAGTTATTGATTTGAAACCTTCCTTTTACATTTTTTTTTTAATTTTATTTTATTTTTAGAGATGGAGTCTCACCCTGTGGCCCAGGCTGGAGTACAGTGGCGTGATCACAGCTCACTGAAGCCTTGAACTCCCAGGCTCAAGTGATCCTCCCACCTCAGCCTCCCAGGTAGTTGGGATTACAGCCATGAGCCACTATGCCTGGCTCCTTCTCCACTGTGTTTGGAGAAAACACTTTGTATGATTTTAATCCCTTTAAATTTATTACTTTTGTTCAGAGACAGTGAAAAAAAGGAAAATAAAAAATATATGTAAATCAATGCTATCAATATAAAACATGCTTTGTGCACTAGTATTTTCCAAGCTTATAAGATAGAGCAGTGAAAAGGTATGTTTACTTCCATGTTAATATTTTCCTTTTTCTCAGGACAGGTAATTAGAGCTTTTTCTTAAACATGAAAGTGGCTTCCTTCTTCACATCAAAATGATGTTTAGAAAAAAGTCATATTAGTTTGAGTGATAAGACAAGAGAGATAATAGAGATAATTAAATGATGACACTTGCGGAGACTTGACTGTACCATTATTTTGCATGATTTAACCTATACTTACTATAGTAATCAGGTCAATACACAAGTGTGAAATTATCCAAAAACAAAAGTTCTTTAACTAACATGTTAAGTTTTGCTGATCCTAAAAGTTTTATTCCAGTGTTGTTCACTA